GCTTAGAGAGGGCTGAAAGCCCTATGAAGCGGTATATAAGTCTAACTGCTATTGCTATTGCTAAAATGAGTAAGTAATCCATAGGAAATGGGGCGGGGAGGAGTAAGTGGAATCTGACATGCTAACAAAGCAGGGCCAGTCTGTGGAGACCCAGTGGGGCAGGATGGGGAGGGGGAACCAGTTGTGGGGATCCCAGGAGAGCATGAGGTATCTCAGTGGATTAGGGATTGCCTTGAATGCACATGCTGTTCCTCAGCCTGAGATACCTCATGTTCATTTAAAGACATGCACATTCAATTAACAAATTAACAAAGGTAGGGAATGATCACGTTCATTTAATGTGATTCAATCCAATGAATCCCCACATTACAAATGTTATTGGCAGGCTCTATTACATTTATAACTGGAGGATTACCTGTATAATGAGAGTGAGGGAGTGTCTCAGGGAAGTCCTGCCTTAGTCTGTGTCAGACCCACCCTGGCTACGCCCATCCAGTCACATGACCACCCACCCACACCTACCCAGCCGATCATTAGGGCACAGAACTGGTTGTTAAATTATTTGAATCCCAAATTATTTGAATTTGTTAAGCAAATTATTGCAGTTGTTAAATGAATCATGATTCTCCCGATTTTGCTTATCAGAAGGCAGCTGGAAAGGTTATAAATGATGATCCCAGGATAGTACAACTGTCATAAATACATTGTAACTTCCAAAGGTCCAAGAGACTACAACAAATGGTTGTGGTCTCCATAGGTATACAATACAGGGTTTTTTTCTCATTAAATATAACTTCCCAGATTGTATCACAATATTTTTTGGAAATATTTTCACTTGGTAAACTGTTGGCTTAATGGTAAAAAATATGCTACACTTGGCTGCGTGAATGAGTAAGTTAAAATTCATACTGTCAGGATTTATAAAATTTGAAAAAATAAACTTTTAAAACATATTTAATAATGTTGCTATAGGAAATTATTTATATTATATGTAAATGATTAATGCATTGAGGTATCCTATTACTACTCCCAAATTACTCTTTTAGATTAGAGATACGGCACAGAATTTCTCAATCCAATCTGGCTCTGAGTTTGTTTTTCTTTATTCTTTATTATTATTGCCCCTTTTTTACATATACATGGTATTACATGTTATATAAACATTGCCATAGGGAAGGGGGGATATTTTTTTCCTAAACAACAGGCTCCTCAACTGATTACAAATAATCAGATAATTTTTAAACATTTTGTCCTTTCAGAGAAATTGTACAACTCAAATGGACGGGAGTTAAGGCGGGCCCTCTTCTCCTTGAAACAGATATTTCAAGTAAGTGAACATTACCTCTTTATACAAATTTTGTTTCTTCAGAAACTAATGTATTTCATTATTATTGCTGGGGGAGAGTTATTATTATTATTTTGCCACAGCAGGTAATAGAGTAAACCTCTAGGCTTAATATACTTTTATCCAATTTATTTTATTATTTATTACTATTACTTCTTAATGTCTTTCTCAAACCACACTTAGGATAATTCATAGAAAGTTCCAAAGAAGCTTCAGAGTAATTCCTGAGGAAGCAAGGGCATCTGCAAAAAGGCCAGATGAGCAATCAATATAGCAACCACAACTAGGCAGTTAAAATCTATCCCATTTTATGTGTCATGTGCAAGAAGATTTTTCATCATGGGGTCATACCAGTATCTTAACTTTTTTGAGTCCGCTTCAACAAGGAAAATAAATTCAGTGAAAAAAACCTTCATATATTCTTAACATAAATAGGAAACTTCTTAATTTTATTTACTATGTAGTGTGGAAATGTGAAAAAGTGTGAAAGGACTAATGAGATGGAATTTACAAAGAGCGAAATTTCTTTATTGTGTCACAATATAAAAATCAGAATCATCACAATTTTTAAATAAATGAATAATATTTCTATTACTTTACAATGCCATTATGTTGCAAAGTTACTCCTTTCATGCACAAAAGCAGATAGAGCCTTTGGATTTTATTACCCATTTCTATGCAATACTGTTGAATCATAACATCTTGTTTATGTCATGACAAGTTGTGCATAAAACTCAAAAATGGCTGATTTGTGATATATGAATCATAAACACATATGCATGCATGCATACATACATACAATACTTACAGTATATACGTCTAAAGTGTTTTTGATTTTTATAGATAATATGAGCAAGACCAAAGTTATAAGAATTACAAAACTATACACTTGAACTATACACTTCGGCCACTGAATCAAAGTTTCCATTCAGTACAGGAACACCAGCCAAAAATCCCAGATAGATGGACATCTCTATGCAGACACATCACCATCTTGAATGAGACTGATACCTGTAGTATCATCTGCAAACTTCAGTGCTTTAAAAGAGAGATCTCTATAGATGCAATCATTGATATATAGATAAAAGAGCAATAGAGAGAATATACAGCCCTGAGGAGGTATTTACCCAGGTATTAGATGTAATTTTCCTTAGCTTCACCTTGCTTCCTATCTGTCAAAAAGCTTATAATCCACCTACAGACACAGTTAGTTGAGTTGCTTTAGGTGTCGAACTCAAGGACTGCAGACCAGATCCGGCCTGCAGGGTGCCTAATCCGGCCCGCGGGGCTGGCCTAGAAATATCAAACAACCATCGCAATTTGGGAGTCCTCCTGGACCCTCAGCTGACTTTTGAACACCACTTGTCGGCTGTGGCCAGGGGGGCATTTGCCCAGGTTCGCCTGGTGCACCAGTTGCG